GTAGGGCATCATTCGCATCATTTCTACATCAAGGTTTTATTACAATTTACTAAGGGGGAAACGAGATGACGTACTTCTTTCAATGCGATGGACAGAGCTCCTGTACCAACACTAACGTTGACGAACAGTTCTGTGAAGATGAAATGTTTGTCTGCAACAACGAAGAATACGTGAGTATCTTGAAGCTCCATAGACTATTGCCAGCTCTGTTTTAAATTAACTAAAACTAACTGGGCTGAAATAATGCAAATTGTTAAGACAATTGAGTAAGAAAATTAATTTCAGGTTAACAGGACTCAAAAGTGTGACGGTAAATGCCGATGCTATCTTTGCCAGGACGAAGTTGGATGCAACAAAGACTATCATAACTTTGGAACATTCTGCAAAAACACCTTCCATCTAAGAATAGGATTCAATACCTGGAGTACGGATTATGTGCCCCCTGCAGTCCTATGCGACGGTTATCAGGACTGTCTAGATGGTTCAGATGAAGCCAACTGTATCGGAACTGAAACCTGCACAAGCACTGAAAATCTCGGATCACAAACCTTGACCCTCATTCAAAGTAACAGATGCACAGTTCCCAACGAGCTTTATCTTGTTTGCCAGGATTACAGAGATCAATTGAACTGTTCTCATGTTTTAGAGTCCCCACTACTCTGCAAAGTTGATGGCTATATGACAAATGTTTCACGATATGCACTGTGCAAAGAAACCAGTTTGTGTGACAATGGACTTGATAGGAATTGTGATGCCGCAGAGGGTGGGTGTGTGATTCACAAGCATCAATTTTGTGATGGACACAAAGATTGTCCAGAAGGCAAAGACGAAGACAACTATATTTGTAAATCCTTGACAAAACAGACTTGTGAAAGAAAATTCTCCAGCAGTACACCGAGAACAGAACAGCTGATACCTCTTAGCTGGGTTGTAGATGGAGAAGAGGATTGTTTGAATGGGAAAGATGAAGATAAAGACTCTTGGAAGGTATGTGGGGAAGGATGGACTAAAAGGTATCTGGACTCTGTAACTCCCTGTTCTGAAGTTTTTTTCTGCTCCAACATTTCCAAATGCTTTAAAGAATATGGCAAGATTTGTGACAGATCTAGTGCTAGCAAAAAAGAAACCGAGATTTGTGAAGTCTCAAGAAATCTACCAAGGATACAAAGTCGAGCAATGGTAAGCCACGAAGGAAAACTCTATATTGGGTATTATCTGCCAGGACTTGAAGATCTCGAAAAGAGCCGATCTCTTAATCTGCATTCAAGTATTGATTTTGTTGCACCTGATCACCCATTTGGGATTCAACCAAGAAAGATGAATATCGCAATATCATCCTCTTCGAACAATGAATGCAGTTACGTTTACGGAGAACTTTATGTTTATCTAACTTGTTCCGGATACTGTAATGAAGTTCCATGTATTTTGACCCCTGTTAAACACGATTCTTGTCATAACATTAAGGATCGTAGGGTATATACTTTGAGTGAGGAGAACTATTTGACAATAGCCACAAAGATAAAGGGTGAATATGTAAGTAACCTATTTTCCTGTAACAACGGTTACTGTATAACTTATGATAAAGTATGCAATCTAGTTGACGATTGTGGGGATGGCTCGGATGAAGTCAACTGTCTCAATCATTTCCAATGTAAAGAAAGTGGAGAGATGATACCATTTAGCAGCGTTAATGATGGTGAATATGATTGTGGTGATTTCTCTGACGAATGTGTTCATTCAACCAAGATAATAGAAGGATATTTCTTGACCATTTCATCATGGGTGGTCGGGATTCTAGCAGTATCGTTCAACATGGTGGTACTACTGAGATCAAATCACCATATCAAAGGAATAAAATGTTCTTTCAAACTATTGAACAGGTTAATGATAGCAATGATTTCTCTTGGAGATCTTATGGTTGGACTTTATCTTATAGTCTTATCTATTGTGAATATTCTCCTTAAAGACAAATACTGCAAAGAAAGATTTCTCTGGCTAACAAGTGGTTACTGTGCTGCTATGGGTGTTGTCAGCTTCATCGGGTCGCAAATATCCCTGTTTGCTATGGTAGTGTTAAGTTTAGCACGACTTAAATCAGTCACCATTTTCTCAGCTCCGGTTGATCATTTGCCAGTAAAAAACAAACTCATTATTGGCGGCCTCATTGTATTCATGTTCGCTCTTACCTTCTTGATATCATATCTACCAATAGTAGATTATCTTGAAGACATCTTTGTGAACGGTGTGTACTACGATTCTAAAATTAAATTATTCATAGGAGCCCCGACAAAGCAAAAACACATCGCAATTCTTGAGAAATACTATTCAAAGTTCAGAGGAAACCCAAATCTCCCGTGGTTTACCGTGAGTCGTCTAGTCAGGAACATGTTTTCTCAGGACTACGGTGGAGTCAATGGTGTGAAGCTGCACTTTTACGGAAATGATGGGGTCTGTCTCTTTAAGTTCTTTGTAATTCCAGAAGATCCTCAAGCTTTCTACTCCATTACAGTCCTTTTCTTGAACTTACTCTGCTTTATAATCATTGTAGTTTCCTACGCATTGATTTACAGCGTATCACTATCATCAACACGACAGTTGAAAGGAAAAAGAAATGGAGGTAAAAATTTGGCCATGCAACGAAAACTGACAATGATTATTTTGACTGATTTTTTCTCTTGGGTGCCTTTTATCACAATGTCTGCGCTGCATTACTGCAATGTAGTGGATGCCTCTCCTTGGTACGCTACATTCTCCATAGTCATCCTCCCAATTAACTCTGTCATTAACCCCTTGCTCTACTGCTCCTATCTAACAACTCTGATACGGAAGGTCTGGACCTCATCTATGAGAATGCTCAGATTTGAAACCAGTACGGTAATTACTTGCTCAGGTGTGGATACAATAACAAGGCGGTCATCTACAAGTGTGGTAACTCTGAGAGCCAATTTAGGGTCTACTCGACTGGAATCAAGTAAAGAAGATGCGATTGAGCCGGTTAATAAGGTCCAAAGGTCAGCAACTTGCAGTTTGCAGCCTACAAAGACACAAAGACACAAGACCAGAATGGAAAGACGACGGACACGGGAACGAGAACAAGCCAGTCAATTCAAATTGTCAGTTACTGAATAATTCGATACGTGTTGCAGGCTGCAGTTTGCAGGTTGCAAGTCGCAGGTTGCAGGTTGCAAGTTGCAGGTTTCAGGTGCAATATAAAATCAGATAACTGATAAATTTGACTACTCCTTATTGGTTAATATGCTTATCAGATTGAGACAGTGAAATACTCAAATAGGTTAAAGGTTCCATCTAATCCTCAATATTACATACGTTGCCAGCTGCCACATGATTATAAAAATGTGTTATTAAAGTGATATTTGCTCTTAAAACGGGGGATTTTATTCCTAATATTGTGATATCTCTCCTCATTGTCTGGAAGTATTGATTTCATAGAAAAATAAAAATAAAGAGTGTAACCATGGTAACTATCTTACCAGACACCAGAGCTGGAGTTAATAAAATCTCAATGATCAAAACACGACACACTATGTGTTATGAGCACTTAAATGGTGTCTTAGGACAATTATGAATTATCACGCAGAGGGGGAATGCAGTCTTATTTAACAAGAAGTATGTAATCTTATGCAGCTAATGTGTACATACATTATTATGCTAGTAAATATCATAGCAAATTGTTGAATTAAAGATAGCGCTGTTGCTTATCATTCATGATAAGTTCACTAAAATGCTTGCCTAGTGTGGTGATGCACGTTAAGTTAAATAGTTGTTTTGAATCATGTCTTTTAATTGTGTGTACCTGGTGATCTGATGGTAATCACTTATTTCCGTCTTTTAAATTGTTATTTTCTGTTCCTTGTAATACTGTGCTGATGTAATGCAATTATTAAATTCCTTATTTCTTCAGCTAACGTGCAGTTTTTAGTGAGTAGATAGATTAATTTTACTGATTGGCTCGTATTATACGATATATACGAGTCGTATATCGTGTGTTAAATTGTATAACACAGAATATGTTCAATGCTGAGAACTGATGTGCACAGTGCACTGTTATTGTTGAACTTTCAACAATGACAGTGAACTTTGCACCTCACACAAAATCACCTCCGCAGTTAATACAAGTATTTATTTCGTACTGTGTGTGGGCCTATCATTGTCAACATACTGTAACAATACTGATAGTAGTAGTCTCTGTATGTAGGTAGGTATTACTCAGGAGAATAAAGTCCACGATCTCCAACAGCAACTCCTACCAAACTCATTACCTACTCATTACCCTAACTTTAATATCTATCATAATAATATCGTGTAGCGATACGGAAGTAAATGTCTTGCACTGAAGATTTGTTAGTGTGTAGTTGTGTAGTCTAGCTCATTTCGTGCGTTTTCTTCTAGTCAGTATTCAGTTATCAGTATTTTACTGTATTACTAACTTACTAAGTTACTAGGTGTGTTCTTGCTTTCGTTTCATCTATTTTGAACTTGAAATTTTAGTAAATATTTACTGAAGATAAAAAGTGAATTCATTGATTTAATTTCACATAATATTAAAACATTAGTTACACTTTTGTATGCAGTCTCGTCAGTGGTTATGGTATCATTAGCCTCTCTGTACATGATAGTTTAAATTACTCAATCTACTTTATAATGTACAATGTAAAGTGTACAATATACTCGATGGCACAGCGACAAATGTAGAAATGAGCAAAAAATTATAAATTATTGTTTCGTCGTTGCTATGGTTATTACAGAGTAATTTCTCCAACGATTTGATATGTTTGTGAACATTCTGCAGAGTTATTTTTTGTAGCTTCTATCCGAAGTTCTTTTCTAGTAAATTGTTCATTTTCTGTGAATGTCTTGTTGAGATGCCCAGAGAGGCATTATTTAATATGTTATGTTAGCTCTCACAAAAACCGGAAATTTAGTTGTCAGACGTCTTGTTAAGGCATGTTTATACCAATACAAGGTGTTATTCAACTTACCGTCTGGGAAGTAGAACCGTATTTCCCTCTCTGCTCCCTTCTGAGAGTCGGACCCGTGAACTGCGTTTCTCTGGTCGTCTGTACCGTAAATTGCTCGTAGACTGATCGAAAAACTTTTATTTGCTTCGAGAATGAAATGTGCCTATACAGCCTATTGTCCTTTGCATACAGGGCACAGCAAAACAGTGTTATTCAGATATTCAGATATTCAGATATTATGTGCGTAAGATGATATTAAAGAACAGATAAGAACCTGTCCGGGTGAGTTTCTCTAGCTCTGTGAGAAGATGTGGGCCCCAACAGATCTCTCCACTCCAAAATACAGTTCTCCTTGGCCAATACCATTGCTATGATCGAGCCGCTGAAATATTTAGAGCTCAGTAAATTACATTGCAGATAAAATTGTTATCATAACGCACGTGTTGAACAATGAACATATGTTTAATACGTAAAGATGAGTTAATATAGCGCTCCAATCATAGTTCACCTGCTCATAAAGGAGACCAGGGACGGGAAGAACATTTTACCGTAATGTTCTGCGTAGAAATCACTGCACTGTTCGGGCGTCATGTGGAGTCTTCTTTGCTGTAAAAGTTCACGTTTATATGGAAACGCGATACCCCGGCCATAGCTTACAGTTTGTTCGTTTATTTACAATTAACATTAATTGTAAAAGTAATGTAAAAGTGATGACAAATGAAATACAGAGCTTGTAACTAGGAATGGACCCATTGTAGCAATCCAAGTATTCCGGTACTCAATTTAAAGTTTTTTTCGTCGCTTAACAAACCTGAAGAATAGCGAACCCATGGTCCTCGATAAACCGCAATATGGCAGCACTCTGATCAATAGCATCTGGTTTGATGATTGCCAAAGTTCGCTCTACGAAAATCGCAGGCTGTTCCATAAATGTTGCAGGAGCTTCCATTTTCCTTCGACCTTGCTAAACTAAAATATCATACTATTAAAAGTGAACTAATGATAGCGAATATTTAATATTTATACCATGTATAGAATAAACGTTATCATCCCCCTGCCTCCCCACTAACATCAGTCATCACAGCGTATTGACATAAATTGAAAACAGACGAATGATCTAGATTCTAGCAGCCTACTAAGTTTCTTAGGAGTGTTACCAACCTAATGTTAATACTAAATATCATAAGAAATGACAACTCTGATTGAGAGAGCAAGTACACATAATATTATACTTCAAATGGAAAAAGTAACCACAAATGTCCAATTTTCATTTGTTAGTTCTCTGCCAGATGCTCTCTTTAAATTTTGATATATTCAGCAGCGGTCGTGATTTCTAATCAGCAGCCCCCTCTGAATAGTGGAGCTGGCTCATGAGTCGTGTAACCAGACAATCCTTGCAGGCAGCCCCCCTCTGCTGTTTCGTAACGTTAGTTCACTCTCTACACAATGCCCAAATTTCCCAATGCCCATAATATATAATGATTAATGTGCACTTCTACCCACTTCTATTATTTACTACTTATTAGAGTTTCCTTATTTAGTTTACGTCCCGTTTCTTTGAAACAGTTCGTCGTAGATTATGCATATTGCTATGAGGTCGTTGACACATTTAGTACATACAATAAACAACTTCTATCAGTTTCAACATTCTTTATCAGATAATCGATTAGTGTATACACCATACATTTACATATTGTATATACATGCTACAGAGCTTATATAGAGGGGAAATGTGAGAGCTCATTATATCGTATATTGCCCGCTCCTGTTCAGTTACCTTGTATACTTGTATACTTGTGTAGTTCCGTAGTATACTGTATATATCTATCTAGTGCAGTTAATTGAGTTGAGAAGCTTTATTTTATACAACTAAAAGCCGTTACTGATATTTAGTAATTTATAAATATTAGTAGCTCTCGTTTCTTCACCCGAGTTATTGAACGTTTTCTAGTTTAAGTATTATTGTATCCTGATTAGTAGCTTACCAGTTTCAGCTCGAGATGGAAGACGAGTTGATTATAAATGAGGAACTACCAGAAGAAGAAGGAGTCGACCACGAAGACATTGTATTGACCGAAGATGAAACACCACACTCACCCGCCGAGATTCAACCAAAAAGGTTGATCATTTATTTCTGTTCCACCAATTTTCTACAAATTCCAAAATTTTAAATGGATTGGGGTTCCATTCTTTAAACTAATTTCTTATTTATGGCTTGATGGTGGGCACTAAATCATGCACGTGGTTTTTAACACGATTTAACGGTCAGGTACACAGTCTCAGAGTGTATTGAACTGATTGGATACGGTAGATACCATTGGAAAGTAGTCGCCACAATGGGAATGATGTCTGCTGCTGACAGCGCTGAAATCTGGATTATTGGCCTTATTTCACGTAAGATTTATGATTTACCTTATATCAAGTTAGTTTTATGGTAAACTAATTTGATAATTGCTATTGAATTTTTACACTGATTTAAGTAATGTTGTCGTGGTAACTAACATAAAGTCTCGTTACAGTTAATCTGAAGTGTGAGTGGGACATATCCCCTGCTCAAAAAGCAGCTGTACCAGGTCTTGTCTTCCTTTGCATGTCCATTGGAAGTTGGCTTTCAGGTAAGTGCAGTATATTGGTGTATAGTAATGTGTATTCTATAATACACTTCATCGCCGTGCATCTTACTATTAGGCATCTAAGGAAAATTACAATTGTTGAGTAGTGTTCATTGTCAATTCCTTGCTTATATGCTAGAACTAAAAATTTACCAAAATGTGGGTAATTCTACTTGAAAAGTTGTAACTTTAGAATTTTCAGGAGTGTTAGCTGACATCTATGGTAGAAGAAAGATTATGCTCATAGTTTACTACATGTTCACTCTTGCAGCAACTGCTTCAGCTTTTGCTTGGAGCTATCCAGTATTTCTCATTCTCAGAGGAGTTGCAGGTATAACTTCTCTCAAATCAATAATGTTTTTATAGTGATAACACATTTTAGTTTATAATTGTTTCTGTGAACCTCAGGTTTTTGCATTGGTGCCAACTACGGTGTTTCCATATGCTACTCAGCTGAGATGGTACCCATTACCAAACGAGCGTTTAACCTTTTGATGTTAGACCTTCTCTGGTGTGCAGGTAATGTTTTGATTTAAACACATCACCTTGACTCCTTGACACAACACTGTCGGTTTTTCATTATTGAGGAGATTATTCACCATCGGATCATAGTATCTACCCAGTTGATTTCCTTGCCCAATTTGAGATGAACACAAAAACATACATTTTCCACAGGAGGGGTCTACATATGCTTTTGTGCCATTTTCGTGATGCCTTACCAATGGGGTTGGCGATATCTCATTCTACTAGCAGCACTACCTTGCTTGGTAACGATTCCTTTGCTTCACATCTGTGACGAGTCCGTCAGATTTCTTGCTGTAAGAGGTATGATACATCTGTGGTAAAACTTTGAACGGGGAATCAGGGCTGGTAAAACCCAGTTAATTGATCCTGGGCATACTCTGATATTGCCTTATGTTGAAGAAATTAATCATTTCAGGCAGACTTGGTGAAGCCAAAGAAATTTGTGATAAAATAGCAGCTCAAAACAGTACAGATAAAGTTGCAGGTGAAATATTTTGTTCGACTGCAAAAAATTCATCTAAGCCTTTCAATGCAGATATGTTCAAACAGCCATTCCTGAGGTGAAGAACATTTTTATTCACTGTTAAAACTGTTCATCATTTTATAATTACATAATTTGGTAATATACAGACTGCTGATTATGAGTAAATTTGATTGGATGATTTCAACACTAACAAAGATCAATGTATTTAGCACATACATAAAATACATAATACAGTATGATTTATTAGATATACAGTATCTATTATTGAGTATTGAGGGAGCCTTGAATACAGTATCAAGTAACCATATTATTTATTATTTTTATCAGGAGAACGCTACTACTTATGGTCTGTTTTAGTGCCTCAGTTTGGGTATTCTATGCATTCATGTACCTGTTACCAGACATGATGGCAGATGGATATTGTCATTTATCAGAATGGTTCCAAGTTACTCATAGAAATTCAGAAGGGTGTTTGATATACACAACTACAGAGTATATCTTCTTGATTGTTGTAAATCTGCTTTATCTCCCTGGCTACGTTATCTCTCCAATAACAGCAGGTATTTCTTCATGTTAGTCCAGTTCTGCTATTTGATGTTATGCAAATGATGCGCCATGTGACCAACACGTTGTCTCTACAGAATAAAATTTTAATATCTAGGCTAATGATAATATACAATTGACCAATTCAGAATATTGGGGAAGAAGACCAACCTTATGGTACTCATTCTGGGGTGGACTTGCTACAAGTATAATGCTTTTGATATGTATACACCCTGTTGTAATATACATCAACTTGTTCTTGGTGATTAATTTCTATGGAATCTCTGTGGCAACACTTTGGTTATATGTTCCTGAGAACTACCCTACTTACTTGAGGTAGACATATTGCTTTACCACTCAAATATACAATAAATACATAGCTTATGATTGAAAGATACGTTTATATAATCTGTCAAAAATGAAATTCAAGCAAATAATATTCAATTTTAACTCAGGTCGTCTGCAACAGGAGCACACAATGGGTTCAGCAAAGTTGGGGCAGCATTTGGAACATTTCTCACAGAATACTTGGACTCAGTGAAGATCAGTCATAGCATCACGGTCTTGGTGGTGGTTCTCATAATTTCAAGTGTAGCAACAATTTTTCTCCAAATAGAAACTAAAGGCAAGTCTTTGATAGATGGGAAAGATTCCCCCTCAGTACCACCAAACAGTAATGATATACCACTCAGTGAATATGAACCCAAGACTGAAAACCAAGTAAACTCGATAGATGTGAACCAAACAGCTCACCATATTTAGAAGAGTTGCTAGCTAGCTTGAATAATGTAAATTTTGTATTAAAGTAGCAATTTTAAGGTCTACAATATAGAGCTTTGTCACTTCTCAGAGACTGGTTGCACAAGTACACACGGTGAAATCATCATGGGTAATTTCTTGCTTAAATTTTAGTTAAATATTCGTGTACAATATTATGTCACAGGAAAACCCTGATTTACCAGAGTTTGGGGGAATTGAAAAAGCCGTGGTAAATCAGTGTTTGGGTAACTGTAAATCATAGTTTTGATTGTTCACATGAAGAATGTGTACGTCGTATTCGGGGGAAGAAATGAAGTAAATTGGGGCTTCGCTGTCAACTTTAATAAAATCGTGTTAAATTAAAGGTTATGTTGTGTGTATATTAAAAGTTTTTAAGCATTGTATAATCAGCAAATTTATTTCCTACGATGAACATTTCCCTGTTTTCAAGGTTCTTAATACATGTTTTTCAATTGTTACTTTATTTGTATGTCCTCCTGCTTAATTCAAAGTAATCAATTGTCCAAATAAAAGCATATAACAAAGCAATCACACACAGATTTAGAAAACGAGATCATGCGAGTTGCAAGACAGTTCAATCAACGAAACAAGAAATTCTAATGAGACAAAAATTTTATTTTTAACTCATTAATGTCTTTTCTTAATGCCAAACAAGCAAACAAAATATTTAAAACAGTGGGTGATCAGTGATATAATAGGGAAATAATAGGGAACTTATAGGTAAAATAATAATAACAATGAAAAGAATATTCAAACAATATACACATAATAGACAGTTTTTGGGCTTTCCAAATAGTTTCTGATTATTCTGATTTGCGACAAATGATATTGCACTGTTAGGATAAACGACGTTTCAAAGTAACAACTTCTTATTCATGCTGACAAAATTGGTAAATATGTGAGAAAACTGTCTCATAAAATTTATTAATCAAAAATGGCTAAACGACAACAAATTGTTCAAATACTCGACTAAAATTAGAATCAAAATCTATATATATACAACACTACTCGATCTGCTATTCAATAAACTTAAAACATCCACTAAACAGCAAGTACGTGATTGTGATCGTGTGATGGAATGACATGTACAGTGACAACAGATGATAAGATGTAAGTGATAACAGATGATAAGGTAAAAGATACAATACATGTGAGATGGTGTATACACAATGTGAGTGAAAATATAGTGAGTGGTTACTGATTGTGAGCGAGATGTGAAAAACCATTAAAACTTACTACTGCTAGAAAACTTAAACTGTATGCAATAAAAAGGGAATGAAACTAAAATATCTAAAATTCTTCAGTACTAGCTATGATAAAACGTTTAATAGTATCCAGTTCTTCTCTCTTGTTAATTGTAGGGTTCAGATTAATAATAAACATCGCTTCGAAAATCTTTCTTCTGACAGGGGGGGGGGGTCCAAGGGGAACTTTGGGGAGTTTTGGGGAACTTTTTTTGGGGAACTTCAGGAAACCTGGGGGACTTTCCCAAAGTTCCCCAAAAAATTATCAATGAAACAAATAATTTTGGGGAATTTTGGGGAACTTTTTTTTGGGGAACTTCAGAAAGTTCCCCAAAATTCCCCAAAGTTCCCCAAAGTTCCCCAAAAAAATTATAATGCCAAACAAATTATCATGCTGCAAGTATCAACAAGTAAGTTAAGATTATACCTTATAATAACATACATGTTAACATTAATGGGTATTAATGTATATTAGAGAAATTTTGAATAATTTTGAATAATTTTGAATAATTTTAAATAATTTTGAATAATTTTGGGGAATTTTGGGGAACTTTGGGGAGTTTTGGGGAACTTTTTTTTGGGGAACTTCAGAAATCTTGGGGGACTTTCCCAAAGTTTCCCAAAGTTCCCCTTGGACCCCCCCCTCTGACAGTATTGGGTTCAATTCTTAAAATATCTACCTCTAAACTGGGATTTAACCCCTCATGACAGCTCGAATAATGTATGGCAAAAGCTTGACTAACATTAGAAGGGGTAGCAGGGTAGGTAGCGTAACGTAAGTGTTCTCCTACACGAGCATGTACTTTCCTACTGGTTTCTCCAACGTACAGCTGGTCACATAATTTACACTTAATCTTATATACAACATTCTTCACTTCACAATCTTTATTACAAACTATCAAAGGACAAATTTGACATGAATTAATACTGCACACACGTTTATCATACGGTCTGTTACTACATAAAATATTTCTCAATTTCGAAGTAGGTTTAAAGTTTACTTTAATAGGTAAATTCAATGAAACGAAAAGTTTTCAATGAAACGAAAAGTTTTATTTTACATTCCTTTAATCATAAATAAAATAAGAGCTTAAACCACGAATTAGTTAGCTAGAAGTAAACTTGAGGAAATATTTTTGGTGATTGTATATAATTATTTAAAAACTTTATTTGGTTGTTAGTATTTTAATTATGGTAAGTGGTTGAATTTAGTGAGACAAGGTCAGTTTCTCTATTATCTTAGAAAAATTTCTACTTTACAGTAGGCAATGCTGAGTGGCAGGAATGAGGGACCAAAACGCTTGGGGCTAACAATGGCCCATTTACAAACCACTTCAGACATGGCAATGATGTCATTTATGCTTAATTCGTCTGAAACTGACCCTACTGCACTTGTAACATTCTATAAAAATCTCTTCTAAAATAGGTATAAAAATGCATAACACAAAACACACAAACAAAATGTTTATAGTCCTTATATAATAAATTTCTTATTTTTAATAAGAAAGTTTTAATACTTTCAACACTACTATATAACAAATAATTTGAGTGCTATGTAACCTGGCAGTAACGTTGTAAAGGACTTTGAGGGGGTCTGTAGTCCCCCCGCATAGTATGTTTGTGTTTCACTGATTTGTAAACTGAAGACGTAAATAGAACTTTTAAATTTCTATAAAACTAATAAACCTATTATATATATATTCATTTTGCACCCAGAGAAAGATGTGATCACAGAGGTAGTTTCGATATTATGTTCATGACAAAGTATGGGGCTGCTGCAAGTTATATTTTGCTAAGATATTACCGCTTTTTCAAGCTTAAGTAATCTAGGCAAGGTCAATTTTAAAGTTTTTGAATTTTGTCGAACGCTGTTTAAGGCTAAGTTCCAGTCATTTGGTTCTCCTTCCTTTTGAGTGTGAGTGATGGTGATTCTTATGGATGATTTGAGGTGATTGGGCTTATAACAGGTGAATGTAGTTAGCATGAGATTTTGTCGTACTGTATTCCATATTGTCCCTGCTCTGTATATGTAGCTGTCTGATGGTTTAGGTGTGAGAATGAGGGTCTCTTTGCCAAGTCTGCCAGATGTTTCAAAGAGGGAGTATAGTGATATAGGGGTTCTATATTTCAAGACCTTGAAGATGTCATTAATACAATGGTAGAAGTACAGATTATGCACATTCATGATTTCATGAGTGTTGAAGAGGGGTTTTGTATGCTCCTTTCTGTAGAATTCCTTGCCCAAGATTTGCTCCCCGTAGGGTCTGCATCGTGCACTAGTTTTAAATTTATCCAAGTATGCTTCTTTATCTCCAAACATTATGCGGGCACACATTTTCTGTGCTTTGAACAGAGGTTCAAGTTTTTTGTTAGATGCCCCTCCCCAGACAGTTATACCATATGCAAGATAGCTTTCAAACAGAGTGTGATATAGATCTTTATGGAGTGATGTGGGAATGTTATCTTTAATTCTATTTAGCATGCCACAGCAGCTGGCTAGTTTTTTTGCTAATTTCCTTCTATGTGCGTTCCAGTTTAGGTCTTCATCGATTGTTACACCTAAGAATTTAGTTTCATGTACTCTCTCCAAGGGTATGCCATTGATATTGATTTCTTGATCAGAGGGTGTATCTTCATCTTTGTTGGATCGAGAGTTTGAGAATTCAAGGTAACAGCTCTTGCCAGTGTTTATGTGAAGTTTATTGGCAAGCATGTAGCGGTGTACGGAATTTAGGACTTCATTGGCTTTTTTGTATGCTAGGTTTTTACTTTTTGCAGCGATGAAGATATTTGTGTCATCAGCAAATAGAACAAATTTAGAGTTCTTTTCAGAGTTTGTAAGATCGTTTATGTAAATTAAGAACAGAAGGGGCCCTAAGCAGCTCCCTTGTGGCACTCCAAAAAGCACAGGTAGAGTATCAGATATTTCATTGAGCACACCAACATATTGTTTACGGTCGGAAAGATAACTTTCCAGGAGTTTGTGTGCCCGTCCTCTGATCCCGTATGTGTTTAATTTTTTGAGAAGTATTGAGTGATCTATTGTATCAAATGCTTTACTTAGGTCGATAAAGATTCCTAAAACATGATTACCGGCTTTGAGTGACTGCTGAATGTGGTGAATAGAGTAGTTGAGTGCATGTGATGTTGAATGACCCTTTCGGAACCCAAACTGGCTATCGTGCAGTATTCCCTGACTCGAGAGAAAACCATAAAGCCGTGAGTAGATAACCTTTTCAAAAATTTTACCGAAAATTGGGAGAGTGGAAATTGGACGATAATTTTGTAAGTGTTCTTCGTTATCTTTTTTGTAGATGGGGCTAATTTTACCTATCTTAAGGATGGCGGGAAAGCATCCTGTTGACATAAGGTTGTTGTATTGTATGGAAAGCACTGGGCTGAGAATGTGTGAGGCCTTTTTAATAACACTGATGGGGAAATCACTAGCTTTGCCATTTTGTAGCTCAGAAATGATATGAGATATTTCACTCTCAGTGCAGTCTGTTAAGTACATCGAATTTGGGTTAGTTTTTGGTAAAAATTCAACAAATGAAGGAAGTGGCTCAATTTTCATTTCCCCATCAACTTGTTCATTCAATTTCGACGCTATTGAGGCAAAGTACTCATTAAATTTGTTGGCTATGAGTCTACGTTCTGTGATGCGTACTCCGTCGACACAGAATTGAGGCTTTATGGTTTTTTTGCATTTTCCTCTTAATTCATTGATAACTTCCCAAGTCTTTTTGCTGTCTCCTTGATGATCCATAATCTTAGTACAGTAATATTTCTTTTTTTGACTTTTTATTACACCTTTAAGACATCGACGATAGTTTGAAAATTTTGTGTGGAGATCAATATTTCCATCTGGACTAAATTCTTTTGACGTTTTCGAGGCTATCCAGTCATCATACAGCTCCTCTTTAGTTGAAATAGCTTCTGAAATTCCATCTGTCATCCAAGGATTGTTAACTGGATTTCTTTTGGAGACTTTGGGTTTATCTAGTTTGCAGTTAGAGTCAATTGTATGTGTGAAGATGTTAAAGAAGGTTTCAAAGTTGGTACTGTTTGCCATGATATCTTCTTTGGATTCAAGGTCTGTAATTAAAGTATCAACATTTTTCTTGGAGAAGCTGTAGTGTTGGAGTAGCTTTTGGTCTGAAGAAGTTTCGTTCATGGGCATGCAAAGGTTGAACATGGCTATGATTGGTTTGTGGTGGGAATTCATATCATCAATTACCCCAGACATCGTGACGTGTTCAATGTCGTTGGTGAGTATATTGTCTATGCAGGAATGTTGGTGAATGTTTGTGGAATGAGTTGGTAATGAGATGAGCGGAAAGAATCCCAATGAAAGAAACAAATTTTCAAATTTTTGAGTTGTGGGATTTGTTCTCTTTAGAAGGTCAAAGTTGTAGTCTCCCAAAATTATAGATTTTATGTCTTTGGGGAAGAGTGACTTCAGGTGTGTCAACTCATTGAGAAACTCTTTCGAGTCCCCATTGGGTGATCTATAAACCACACCAACATTAACTTTTTCACTCCCTTTATTGACAGTAACAAAGAGTGATTCAAGGTTTTTAGTTGTACTGATAAGCTTGTCGTTTATGGTTGCATTGAAGGAACAGTGGATATATAAACAGACACCTGTTCCTTTTGTTTTATTTGGAATTTTATCATTATAGAAATGCGAGCAGTTGCTTAATTTGTACAGATAACCTTTGTTTTGATTAACATTTGTTTCAGCAAGAGCAATAGCTGAGTAGGTAAGTTTTTGCATGCTCATTTCTGCAGAAAAGGAGTCAAAGTTGGATAGATTTCCATCTATATTGTAGAACATTGTGCTAAAATCAGAGTTATTAGGGACCTTTTCATGGACTGATTTAAGTTTGTAACTCTTACAGTTTTCCAAAATTGTGGATGCTTGGTTAATACAGTCAAAAGACTCCAGGAAGTCTTCTGAGTAGAACTTATCATCAGACTCTTTTTCAAGTCCTATGAGTTCCTTAAAGGGATTGTAGATCATGACACTAATACTATAGCAGTTGGTACATAAGTGTCCAGAGCCTCCTTGGCTAAATTTTGAATTTTTGAAGCATAATTTGTGTATTATTTTGGGACAATTTTGACATTCCAAGTATCCTTGACCAATAAGGACGTTTTTGTTGCAGCAGTCGCATATTGGGCACTTTCAAAAACATCTGTCACGGAAAAAATGTTAAAATTTGCCAAAAATCAGTTTTTGTGGCATAATTTGGTGGATAATTTTTGGAACGGGATGAAACTCCAGGATATGGTGTGCTATACCCTAACCTTTACTATCTGCCACTTTTTGTTTCGATTTAGGGCTAAATCTGGTGGATAAAAGTGAAACAGACCAATCCACTGCAGGTGGCCTTTTAAAATATTTAATTCCATCTAAACTCCTAAAATATGATTGAGACTTAACAATAATCGTTATAACTTCATAATTTCATAAGTAGGGCCGGGATTTTTCTTAAGGGCCAAATTTGGTGGATATATTTTTTTACCTCTTTCTTAAGACTGTTATTTGTTAGCTAACATCAATTTACTGGTCTTAAAATGATGCAAAGGCAATGTTAAATCTATGGCATCAACTATGAAGTACAAGATTCAAGTTAAAAGGCTATTTTTGGTGGATATAAGTCAATATTAATTAGTTAAACACGTAAATGTTACCAAAATATCAATAAATAAGACATCATCATGATTAGAAACAGTTGAAAAAGATGAAATATAAGATGTTGAACATTTAAATGCATAAGGTACTATGGCATTTTAAGCATTCAGGGCCAATTTGGTGGATAATTAACTCAAAAATACTTAAAATATCGACCTGGATATTTTGATATCCATCAATTTTGGCCTTAAAAGTCGGCTTGAGCTTATCACATTTTGTGCTGAACAAGAAAAAGGTCTAAACAAACCAATATCAGTGTATGATTTCATAATCGAGCAAATCTAAGGCCAGAAATAGTGGATAAAAAAGCAAATTTAACCGTTTTTAAGCTAATTTCTTAGGCATTTATCCACCAAAAACGGCCCTAAATGGAGAATGTTTGGAACGTTTACTTGAAACTATAGCCCTTCTTTTCGACCTCAGAGCAATGATTTTCAGCTCTTTCGACCTTAAGATATAATTATTGGGCGTTGAAAGTGGATCACATACGTTATCAGTCAAGAAATCGTTATTTCAATCACTGAGGTAGGTTATTCACATTTAATATCCACCAATTTTAACCTTAAAAGTCGTCTTGGACTGAAAATTCTTTTGAACTGACTCAGCAAAGGGGATTTTCTATCTAGAAACAGTTGTAGTTTCATGATAGAACACATCTAGGGCCAAAAATAGTGGATACAAAAGCAAATTTTCCCGTTTTAGTACTTTTATCCACCAAAAACAGCTCTAAAGGCTGAAAGGAAACAGTTTGTTAAGTTCGTATGAAACTATATCCATTCATTATGGCCCTAGAGCAATAATTGTATACATTTTCAGATTCTAGACGAGATAATTGGGGTCTAACAATGGAT